GTAGCACTGGGATAGCTTTCCAGTCCGGTGTTGTTGCTTACACAGAAGGGATCTGAAAGTCTAGTGGCATGATTAGTTACTCAACATGTCTATTTTGGGGAGTGAATAAATTGGCAGCACATAGTGACCTACTCCAAAGTGACTTTTTCATGTAGGTGTTTCAGTGAAACTTTACCAAGACTGTTCTGAAAAGTTTTAGAAGTTGAAATTCATGGTCACTTTTGTATCTGAAACCTGGAGTTTCAGGTTTTTGTGACATACCTCAGGATTTTATTGCCCTCAATTGATTTAAATATAAAAAGATGTATTTATATTATCAGGAAAGGGCTTCTATGCCTTCCAGAGTTGTGAAGAAAAGAGAATTCTGGCAGATTCAGCTTGTCCTGTTACCATAGTATTTTGGTCTAATACAACAGGGACAGCTAAGACAAAAACGCAGTGGAGCAGAGTAGCTATTTCATTTGAACTAAGTTTTTTTTTTACAACAAACTAGTGCTATTCATATGGTTCTTTGAAAAGTTCTCTTCTCCTGAATATATTTTTAGACAAAAAAGTCACAACTAGATGCTCTCAATGTTTTATATTGTGAAAGTCTACCAGTTTGAGCAAATCACAAGCTGCTGGTTCCTGAACATTGTTATGGATGTGATAATCTGTACTCCTGCATGGGGTGTTTTTTTCCTACACAATCTACTTTATTGCATGAAAATGGAAACCCAGAATGACTGTGAGCAACACTGAATTGTTACAGTCAGTGAATTTAAGTCAATGGCAATCATCTAGGCACTGATGATCGCAGCGCAATCCGATGTTTGCTTGTTTGGGAGTAAAACCCACTTAACTCACTGGTACTTAATATCCCTTCTGAATAAAGCTGTGTAAGCTTGAGCTGCAACTCTACCATGAAAAGCACTTACAATTTGCTTTTGCTGAAGTTATGTTCAATAATCTTCAAATATTTCGAGATTCTGCCCACAAATCTGAAGTTCTGGAAACACTGCCAATTTATTAAAAGCATAAGCTTCCACAACATTGATGGGACTGCATGCTTTGCTGTCTGTACCTACAACAAATGGTTAAGATCCTTTTTGCCATCTAGTGGGTGGGGCCAGAGCTAAAAGTGGGCAGGACCACACCTTTCCCTGGTCTCCTTGCCACAGCTACCTTCTTCCTACTGTCAAGAAACAGTGAGCACAGGTATGATGGAGGTGTATAATCAGAAGAACATTTACAGTTTATTCAGATGTGCAGCATGTAGATAGCCCTGAAGGGACTACCAAGGTGTAGTCTGTAAAGGATGCTTTTATATTAATTATTGTCTGTTTGGAGGAGGGTGAGGGATCCCATAGCAGTATGCTAGAGGCATATGAGACTAAAACAAAAGGGTTGCACGGATTAAGACAAAAGGAAGATGTTTCAGGACAGGTGTATCTAAGGTGTAAGTGGGGAACAAGATCTGCAACATGGTTTCTGATCCAAGCAGAATTCCACATTAAGTTTAAAGCTGTTCTTACAGTATCAGGCTTTTGGCAGCCATATTATGACAGTGCTTTTGCTCATATTGTCCTGATACCACCAAGCTTAGGAGGAAATTATCTTTCTTGGCAGAAATCTGAAGTGATCATTTGTGGAAGAGGGCTTTAAAAATTAACTTGAAGTTGGCATGAAATTAGACTGAGGATCTCTGGGTTTCATGTGCTCTGTTTATCGTCAAAAATGGTTTGGAAAAAACTTGGTAGCAGTGATTTTAGAATGCTGCCTCAGCAGTGATGTGTTCTGTGCAAACAGAGTTTCCATTTCTTCCATGAAAATACAGAATTGGCTCCCACTCAATAGAAGTACCTGAAATATTGCTTTAAATGGAATCTGTAGTCACTTGTCTCTGAAATCTCTCACCAGCAGTTTCCTTTATATCACTTTCCCAGTGTGAGAATGTTATCAAGACTGCTTGTTATTTGTTTTTGCAGTGAAAATAGAAGAAAAAGCCCAAGAGTATTCAGAAAAAGCTAATTTTTAATGTGCCTGTAGCTGACCTAAAAAGCCATCTGTGCTTTTTTTAATTTTAATTTTAATTTTGAATTTGTATGTCACCCACTAATCCAGATGGATTCTCTAGGCAGCTTTCTTGAGCTTTTTTCCCCTGTAGCTTCTATTTGCATATGTTCAGATTTGACTCTTCTGCATGAATGAAAGTTGCAGGGAGAAAACCTTACTGTTAAGTGTCCCCATGGGCTCTTTTACAAGTAATACTGTGAATTGTGATGGAGCTAGACACAGCAATTTTCAGTTAGGAAATAATTGCCAATATGCCTATTTTCTTTAAAAGGATGCTGTTTTATTGCTGAAAAGCATATTGCTGTAGCAAAACGTCAGGTGTGGTCTTCTTCCTTTTGGCCTCCACTTGGCCTTGGATATATTTGGGCTGCCAAAGTGTTGGCATCCTTTTCTGGTACCTGGGTTTTTGTTGGTTTGGCTTATGTGCCCATGTACTTTTATTTCACAAACTAGAAGTTTGTAAATAGTGGTTTTGGTCCAACGTATACATCTGCTTAACTCAGGTTTTCCCTAGTTTTGTGTTTAAGCTGTGGTTAGTCCACATACAGCTACAGAATGCAAATAGCATGCAGAAATCTTGGAGAACTCTCTAAAAACTTGTATTTGTTCTTTGAGTGTGCATGTTATTTCATATGGGTCACAAGAAAAAAGCCATAGGGTATATAGCATGGATTTCACATGTGTAGTGCCTCAGTATTAGTTCAGTATTATCTCCAGTAGTGGATCTCAGATTACAGAACTCTCTTTTGCCTAAAGAAAAGCAGACTACTGGACGGGATCACACAGAAATGGAATGGGCTGACTTCAGCCCTTGATTGCTCTTTGTTTTTAGTAGAATATTTTTACTCTATTTTACTTTACAAAGCAAGAATGTTAATTCAGGATCTTGAAACAGATTTGGAACACTTATTTTGTGTTAAGTGATCCTGAGTATGTAATCCTATGTATGCCTAGTTAGCGCAATCCCACACAGAGGACATGGAGGGGAATTGTGTATGGTCCTTTGGGTTTCTTGGAGGAAAAAAAGGCAGGATGTGAATGTAATAAATAAAATTTAAAAGCTCTATTGCATAGTCTGATCGTAGCCTTAAAGAGTAACACATTTCTTACGGCGTAAGTTTTAGTAGACTACTAGACAACTTCAGATACTCAGCAGGGGCAGGGTGTGTGTATCTGGGGGTGGATTGTGGTACACTGTGAACACTTTATATAGTTTTTATCATGGTACATTCACATTCAAAGCCACCCAAAACTCTCCCAGTTTACACAATTTATTGCAGCAGTATAATTTGCCTTTTCCTGTGTTAGTTTAAATTCTTTTTAAAAAGCTCTTTAAACCTTCTGACTACTGTACATACAGCTATCTTTTGGGCTCTCAAGTTTGGCACTTTACAGCATAAGGAATGCGGCAAATGCAGCTGCTGCAAGATGGGACATGAGAACTCCTGCCCAACTGCAATAGGGCTACTTTTTCTCATTTTCATGCAGGAACCAGCACACGTGCGTTGATTCTTTCCTGTAAGTTTCTGCCATAGCACCATTTCTTCCTGTTGCACTCATTTGCAATACACATTACTTTCAGGTTGCAATAAAAGAAGACTGCTGCAGTGATCTCGGGTGTGCTGTGTAAAATGCAAACTGAAAGGGGTGGGGGGACGGCGGACCGGAGAACGCAGTTTACTTAGTGGGAGGTGGCAAAAAGGAAGCCAGTCTTAAGGTACAGAGCTCAAAGCAGTCTAACGTAGTGGTTATCAATAGCCTTCTTTCATACACTCGGATAAAGGAGCTGGAGCTGTTGCACAAGAGCAAACGATGAGTCATGGCAAAGCTGTTAGGAGGCCTAACACTTAGGAATCTAACTCTGAAATTCTTTTAGACTTCGTATCACTGATGGGCTAACCTGCTTCCCATATTTTAAAATTTATCCTCTCCTTCAGCCATCTGCATTTTTCCACGTCGGTGTGTGATTTTTTTTTACAGCAGTACATAGCGTGGCACTTTCGAGACAAGCTGATTTAAGAATGCATACGTGCAAACCAAGGAGCGTATTATTTTGTGCAAGATGGACAAGCCCAATCCTGTGTGTGTTCGGAAGTAAGCCACACTCCGCTGAGTGGCGTTTACTCCCATGGAATGCCGGAGGCAAGCCTGCGCGCACTTGCTTGTTGGGAGCAGGGTCTCGCAAGCTAAGTGCCAAATTGCGCGCGCAGAATCAGGCTGCACGCTTCCTTCCCGAATGTAAGGCGATGACTTTGCCCTGCTGACCTAACCAAATCTGGGGCTGACCGTTGGCTGTTTTCTAACCACCCCTTTACACGAGGTTTCAAAGATTAAATATTCTTCTGTTCTGCTTTTTGTCCTTTCTCGTTTTCGCACAATGCATCTCAGCGCATCCGCATGATTTACTGGCTCAAGCCTACAGAGGCAAGAGACCAAAGTAAAAGTCTCTCCGAGCATGGGAAAGAAAGTCAGCACTATTCCTGGCAAAGGAGTGTTTCCAGTAACGTGACCAGGCTCTTCCCCCTGACCTTGTCGCTGGATCGAGATGCTAATATGCGCTAGAGCAACTGGTGCCTCCTGCCAACCAAACATTTTGGATGGGCGGGCGCACACACATACACTTGCAGGCTTGCCGCGTTGTGTTACTGGATGATTATTAGAAGCGGGGAGGGAGGGGGGGAAAAGGAAACTTTATTCGCCTTATATGGCAACAGGAAATGGGCGGGACTTAGGCCTGCTGTTGGGCGGGGGAGCCTGAGCAAAGGAGGCAGTTGTGCTGATGAAGAGGAAGAGCTGGTTCGACTTCTATTGCGGAGCAAAAGCGTGGTGTGCGTGCCCTTTTTTTTTTTTTGCTTGCAGAACGCTGCTCCAATTTCCTTGCGTGAGAGTTGTGCAATCTCCGCGTTCGCCGGAGGAGGAGGAGGAGGAGGAGGAGGAGGGGGGAAAGCCAGCTTCCTTTGCTTTTGCAGTTGCTGCTGCTTTCGTAGCTCGGGGTTCTCTCTCCCCCCCCCTACTCCAAGCTTGCTCTCTTCTGTTCCCCAAGCTGTGTGATCTCAAATCTGTGACTCAGAGACTTGCAAACCTGATACTGCAGCGTGCGGTTGGCAGAAAGGGAGAATAGACGTTTGCGGGAGAATCGAGCCAGGTACACCGCAGGAGTTTTTCTTTCCCCGTACACAGAAAGAAGACTGAGCAGGGTGACAACTGCACACGATATTCGCGATTGCAAGAAAACTTCCTGCTTTCTTTCCAGGTGGCCTTTGGAGATCGATTCAGGCTTTGGTGTTGGCGTTTTTTGTTTGTTTGGTTGTTGTTTTTTTGGATTGGAACTAAAGCAACGAAAAGCGATGGGGGCTAACCTTTCATTTCTCTGACGCGTGGGAGCAAGGAGGTGAGTTTCAAATCGAGAGCGCCTGCAGGGTCCCGAGGCCTTCTGTGTCTTTTTTCGTTTTGTTTTGCAACGTTGGGTTTCTGCTCAACCCGAGGAGAAACCGCAGCTTGCGGAGACGGTTTATTTGCAGCCCGGAAAAGGCTTTTGCAGAGAGAGGACTGGGGCTGATGGGATGAATTAGGGAGAAAGAGGACTTGGGCGAACTTTTTGGTTGGCTTCTGCATAATACGTGCCTCGCGTTGTTTGTGCAGCTACGCATTTCAGCATTGGTAATGGGCGGCCGCGGAAAGGAGGTGTCCTCCCTTCAGAACCGGGAAATGAGCTACATACGGAGTATTCTGGTTACCAGTTCCCTTGTCTTGGTAAGACGCAAAGCTCTTGATGAGAGAACAGCATGGAAGGGTTCTTTCGAATTGCCTCTGCTTTTGGTCATCCTGTGACATTTTCTTGGAAAATACGACGCGATGTCAATCTCAGTGCCTTCGCGCCCCCCCCCCCCACTGATGATTCACTTTAATCCTCTGGCCCTTCGCTTTGATTAATAGTAAATAACAGGATGGGAGGGTTTAACCTATGCTCTGAGTCTGGGGGAAAGTAGAAGGTGTGGAGTCTTTTCTTTCAGCAGGCACCCCTCCCTTATGCCTTCTTTTGCCCTCGGTTACTGGATGACTTCACTCTGGGGCAACAAGACACTCTTCCTGCCCCCTTCACCTTGGAGCTCTTGATACAGATGTTACATTTTAGTAGGACCAACGCACTGTTCCTTTAGAGTTTTACACTGGTACAAATGAGCCTCCGAGTTTACTCACAAAGGTGAAGTGAGGTGCGGAGTTCGTACCAAAAGAGTTATTTATTTTTGACATCTCCAACGCATCAAAGTTATTGTTGCAGTTCTAACCCTTGCATGCACTCTTTTTAAATTTGTGCTGGAATTTGAATTGTAGAAGTGGGATAGTATTCTTAAAGATGGTTATTTAGTATGCAAATTATGTGGTTGCTTAGTTTAGTCCATAGAGGCATATTAGCAGTGAAGGGTAGAATGTCTCTTGGCGTAGTGTTCCCCAAGTAAGTGGATTCTCTTGTGCTCAGAATATGGGAAGAGAGATGTGAAAAGAATTAAGGTGGTGCTTAAAGCTCAGGTGACTTCTGGATCCAAGAACCCTGATCTCATCTTGCTTCAGTGCCTTGTGGATTGCAGAAGTGGTATGAATGTTGAAAGAAATGTGTAATCACAGTCAGAGTGACTTGTCAGGGCGTATGGTCATAGTTTAGCTGGTGACATCATCAGAACTGTTCTAGTCTCTAGAAATCAATGAGAGCTTTGCTATTAACCAGAGGTTTGTAATTGGCCCTTGTACATTTTGCATTCTGTAGATTTTGGCTCTGAGCTGGACAACTTTCAGCAGGAATCTGTTGACTGTTATTATTTATTATATGTTTTATGAAGAGTTCAAGCCAACCCATGTTTTACAGGCAGTAAACAGTTATTCATTCTTTCTTCACAGATGAGATGTATTGTGTACATTACTAACTTTTTGATAGATAATATGTCTTTTTAAAAAGGTTATTTATCTTCCAGGTCTTTTTTGTTTGTTCTTAAGTTCATGCATTGGCCAAATGTATTAACAATTCCTACACAATCCTCCATGTATACATATGTGTGGGTTGCTTCTTATTTCTTAGTACTGAATCTGGAATCACTGAATTCAATTGTTTTAGATCCCTGCATAGAGAGAGAGGCTGAAGGGTGCAGGAACTTTGCACACTTCCTTTGCCATAAAGTATTATGGAATTGCTTTCAACATCACAATCAATCTTGTGAGCAAGGAGTATGTGCAAAAGTGCTAAGATCTGATGCAGTATCTGCAAAAAACAAACACAATCTATCCACGCATTGGTGGAATGGGATACTCTTCAGATGTTTTGAATTAGAATTCTCATAGTGCCAACCAGCAGTGGGAGTTGTAGTTTGCAGTATCTGGAGGGGACAGGTTTATTTAGAAATTGCAGCTGGATTTTGAAGATTATTCCACTTAAACTTGGGTTTCTCATTGTGATCAGTATGTAATGGCAAACAAATATAAATGTTGCCAGTCAGTATTAACTTTTCTTGCAGTGTGCAGCCTTCAAGAAGAATCCAGAAATTGACTAACCAGGGAGCTGTTATACTCCTAAAGAAAGTCCTTGGAGTATGTAAATGCTTGGCATTGATGGTCTAAAGTTATATGTTCTGTTTCTTAAGTGCTTGATCCAATAAATGTATTTGCTGGGATTTTGCAAGTGAGAAGAGGGTAATGGGCTGTGTTTCTAGCACGGAAAGCATTTTGAAAGATGCTGCATCTTCTCCACAGTTGGCTTTCTTAACATTTTAAAATAAGGATATATACAGTCTAATAAGTTCATTTATCCTTGGAAAAAGCAGCTGGACCAAGAAGCACTTCTTCCCCATTTGCAGTGCAATCCTGTAAATGTCTATTCTTAAGTAGGTGGATAGAGGATTGCAGTAGAGAATGAGGAACAGAGAGGAATTTATGGCTTCATAGATAAGGTTGCATAATCTTTGAAGAAAAGAGACAGAGTTCAGGAGTTGCTGCAAACTCAAGAGCAGGCCTCTGAGTTCCTAATGAGTGAACTAAATGACTGCTTGCCATGAATGTGGGTGGTGGATGATAGGATCAATTGGTGGGAAGAGTAGAACTGTGTGAGTCCCAATAGAGTGTTTTAGCACCAAGTGTGGGAAGTTTGCTGCAGCACATGCATTTTTTGATGCTGAATGTTCAGACAGATAGCGGACGTGTGTAAAACAGCATCCTGACTTTTCTGTCTTCTACCCTGCAACCCAGTTCCATGTTGCACTTGAGTGTACTTCCTTGATTTCTAGGTGGTTTCTGCTTTCAGTCTGTCTATGTAATTTTAGGGCAGGTATTGCAGTACTGTCTAAAATGGCCATCCTTATATTTATGTACAATACTTACATAGTTACTGGGAGGGTTGGATGCTCTCTTGCTGGAAACTGTACATTAGTGCATTTTCATCCCATTTGTATGTTTATTGCCATAGATGAAATAAATCAAGGCTACATATTTCACCAAGAAACAAAGACCAATAGCTTTATATCACATTTTTGATTATGTAATTCATACATTTCCTAAATAAGAATGCATACTAATTGCTTGCTGTAACCATGAAAACATGCTGGTTTGTAGCTCACAAAAGCCTTCCCTTATACTTCTCAGGCATATGATCAGAACCTTTGGTCATGCAGTCCATTTGTATTTTGCATTGCTCAGTTATACCTGCCTATAGATAAGGTAGCTTTGAAAAATACTAATTTAGTGTCTTTGTATTCTGCTCCTCAGCCAAAAAAGCTATCAGAGCAGCTTACAATTATCAGTAAGAGAAGACAGCCCCTGCCCACAGACTTAAACAACACGATATATAAGAAAAAAGAATGGGGTGGAAAGAAAGAGAGGAATTAAGTATCGTAGGAGCACTGGTGGGAAAGCTGAGCTTCCTCCCTCATTACTGCTGAGGGCAAAGGAGCCTTCATAGGGGAGATCTCTAGCAAGGCTGGAGGAATGGCCCTCTGTCTGGCTCTCTCAGCAGAGCCCGCTGGCATGGCAACATTTATTGCATGGCGATTCAGTGTTTACTCTTTGCACACTTGCAAAGATGTAATCAAGATCAATTGCTTGAAGACAAGGTCTGCCGTCCAGCTCAAAATTAGGTGTGCAGGATTGTGGGCAGAGTGCCCAGATTTTTGCAGAACCAATGTTGATAACTAGCGGACAAAATATTTGTTCTCTAGTAAGTGGAAGATATCAATAGTACTTGGTAGTCCTAAAAATTCATAATTTGCTGAAATTATTAATATGATGCATGAGCTGTGTGTTAGGTGCTTCAGCATAGTGATGTCATAATTAATGTTGATAGCTGAAAATACAAAACTTCAGTTTTAACAAACATGAAATATTCAGAAGAGGAATGTAAATGAAAGTATACTTGCAAAGTTTCAAATAAGGGGACTTAATTTTTTAAAATGAGATTGGTGGTTTGTAATTTCAAGTGTAAAAGGATTTAACTTTTGGAATAGTTTGTCATGTGGCTAGAAAAATCAGCTACCGGGTCAGCTTGCTTAGATGGAGCCCAGTGGAATGTAACTAGCTGTAGGAATGTGAATATATACAGGTGCATATATATAAAGATAGATATGTACAGTGTAATGGAACACATTTACAGTGTGTGACAATTTATATTTTATATAAAATGCATGTAAAATAATTTCCAACTTCCACAAAACTTATCTGAGAATATAGTTTTATTCCACCACAGGTGTTGATTAGCTTACCAGTACTGAAATGCTTATGTTATTGGAAATGTTATTTAGTCAATAGTAACTACAAATTTTACACATACTTAAACTTTAAAGTAATCATCACTGTTTGGATCCCATGCACTTTGCTTTCTGCTAACCACAGTGCTTAAACTTTTTTGCATATACATGTGGACTGAGGATAGCATTTCATTCATCTGATGAAGTGAACTGTAGTTCAAAATACTTCGGCTAACTAACTTGTTAGTCTTAAAGATGAACCAGGACTTTGATTCCAATATAATGTATCACAGTTCCAGACCAACTTAGCCCTCTGAAAATAGTTTTCTGTGACAGTAGTATATGCGTTTAACCTTCTCCCACTTAAATCAGTGTGGTTTGCAAGTGCTTAGTTAGCTGCATTATACCTCTTGATTCAGTTGTGTCTCTTTTTGTGTGAGGTGCCACGTCCTTTATTATGAGCAAAAAATTGTTATTCTGCTTAATCTGGCTATTAAGTTTTTGGAGATAAGCGAACTGACTGGGATTGTGATAATAGATGTAAGTGAAAGATTTTAACACGAATTTGTTCCTTTGTTTGTGGGACTTGTTCACCTTTTTTGTGAGTAAAATATGTAATCCTGGAGCTACTCTTGTGACAGCTATGGTTGGGACCATATTCTTTTGTCTTGGTCCAACAAGTAACTGCAGCCTTGTGGAATTTTCTTGGTTTGCTATGTTGTAGTAAAATGTGGACCTCAGAAATCCATAGAGGGCTTCCTCTCTCTCAAGATGTTTTCAAAGCACAAGCAGGTGCAGATTATGGCTACCTAGCGCTTGGTTATTGCAGCAGTAGTGAGGGAAATATTAATTAAAAGTGAAAATTCATATGGGCTTTATGCACTTCAAATAATTTCAACAAAATCCAATCTGCAAAATCTTTTGGGGCTGAAATGTATTCACTTGTGAGATTTCCTCTTTCTCTAAACATCTTCATGGGAATTTCAGTTATCTGTATCAGTAAAAATGTTGATCCGGTATGCTGCTGCT